CAAAACCAACACTGCCATGTTAGTTGTATTTAATCTTGTAGTCAGAAGCTTAGCCTGATATGCTACGGCAGGACCTCTTAGCAATCCCCACTGATTCCTTGTTCAGCCTCATCCATAATTTAATATGCTTAAGGACCTTCAAACTGCATAAAAACACAAACAACGATAGTCTCTGCTCGAAAATGCAAGATAATGTCAAACATATATCTATTGAACTCAAATGTTAAATATAAATCATAAATTAATCCACTAAACCGACACATATTTTTGACTTATCATGAAGCCTCTTCCTCTACTACCTCCTTGGGGTCACCATGTTGGCAGCTAGCTGAGATTCTTCTCCAAAATCACTCACTTTTTCAAAGGATTCAATCCTTGCCTCAAAGCTTTGAATGACTGAATAAGCTTCAATCAGAGAGCATTTGTCCGTTCTGGAAGTGATGGATACTACCACAGGGTTATATTCTACCCTAAGACCAGCCAAGAGATGTAGGATTTGATCACTCTCTGAGATGTGATGTCCAGCCATGGATAACGTATCACAAATCCCTTTCATTTTGTAGAAGTATTCCCTGACCTTCATGTTCCCTTTTTTGAGGGTTTGGAGCTCCATCCTTAGTTGCATTTGCTTAGCTTGACTTTGGCTAGCAAAACTGGTTTTTAGGCAACTCCAGATCTCACATAATGTGCTTAAACCAACAGTGGTGATGAGGGTATTTTCTGATAATGAAGAAAGAAGCCAAGAGGCTATAAGTTGGACTTGCCTTACCCAGTTGAGAAACCTAGGGTTGATAACCAAATTTGTTTCTCCTGTTTCATTAGTTTCTCTGAGAAACTTTTCTGGAGAAGATGTGTCCCCAGTGAGGTATCCTTCGAGGCCATATCCTCTAATGGCTGTGACAATTTGTTGTTCCCATATGAGATAATTTCCATCATTTAATTTTACCGAGATGAGTTGGCTTTGTAGTTGGATGATAGGGTCTGTATTGGTTGAAGAGGAGATGGCAGCTGCCATGGTTTGAAGCTTGCAGGGAAATCGAGGTTAAAAAAGAGCTAAAAGAGAAAAGGGGCTAGAAGCATGGTGATCGATTGGCTCTGATGCCATAAAAGCATCTCATGAATCTCATAAAAGAACAAGAAACAAGAAATGACAATGATAAAGAATACTGCCATTAGAACTCAAAATGTCTATCTTTTCATTAATGTGGTTGCTGCACTGTCATTGCCTTATATAGGCTCACTTGTCACGTGCTAAATCACAACATGCTCTCTTTCTAACCCTAGCTTAACTACAAGACAAAGAACACTCCTCTTGTGTGTTGTTTACAGCTTGCATGGGACCATGCATTGAGTCATTTTCCAAATCAGCTTCTCTTTTGTTTATTTTGCTGACTTCCTTGACCATGTTGGTCTCAATAGTTCCTTGACATCGAAAGTGCCGAGCATTTGGGTTACCAGCAGTTGCGAGTCTGAAAAGATGTTGACGTGAGTCAGGTTCATGGCCTCGGCTAAGTTTAGCCCCGATAACAATGCCTCATACTCGGCTTCGTTATTCGTGGCAGGGAATAGAAATTGGATCGAGTGGCAGAAGACCCGCTGGTCTGGATCGATTAAGACGATCCCTCCGCCAGCTCGGTTCGCTGTTGATGATCCGTCGACGTACATCACCCATGGATGGTCGTCGGTGATTTCTTCAACTCCGGGAGTAAATTCTGCGATGAAGTCGGATAGGACCTGTCCTTTGATTGCGATTCGCGGTTTGTAGTGGATATCGAATTGTCCCAGCTCCACCGCCCATTTAACCATTCGACCCGAGGTGTCGGGTCTGTGTAAGATCTGTCGCAATGAAAATGTTGTTAGCACGGTAATAGAATGTTCCTGGAAATACAGACGCAGCTTCCAAGCTGCAGTGACGAGTGCGAAGGCTAGCTTTTCCATTGGCGGATATCTTAGCTCGGCGTCGTGCAAAGCCTTACTGATATATTACACCGGATATTGTTGGGAATCCTCTTCTCAGATGAGCACCGCGCTTATTGCCGAGTTGCTGACTCCAAGATACAGGTATAACATTTCGTCGGACTTTGGTTTTTGTAGAGTATGAGGTTGGGATAAGGTTTCTTTGATGCTGACGAGAGCCTTCTGGCAGTCGTCGGTCCATTCGACTGTTTTCTCTTTTTTTNTTTTGCGTCGAAAAAAGGCTTGCACCGATCGGTTGATTTGGATATGAACCGATTCAGAGCCGCGAGCCGACCTGTGAGCCCTTGCTCTTCTTTTACCGAAGTGGGTGACTTTAAATCCAAAATAACTTTGATTTTCTGGGGATTCGCTTCTATTCCCCTTTGACTAACTACGTATCCCAAAAACTTACCCGACTTTACACTGAACGTGCATTTTTTTGGATTAACACCATGGAGTAATCGCACAAAACATTAAACATTTCATTCAAGTGGGTTACATGGTCATTAGCGTACACAAATTTTACAAGCATAAAATCTACGTACACTTCCATGGTGCGCTCTATCTGATTAGAAAATATTTTGTTCACCAACCTTTGGTACGTGGCCCCGACGTTCTTCAGCCCAAACGGCATCATAGTGTAGCAATACAGGCCCCTCGCCGAGTAGAAGGAGGTATGTTCAGCCTCCTCGGGATCCACCGGGATCTGATTGTAACTCGAATATGCGTCCATGAAGCTCATTAGCTCATGACCCGAGGTGGCATCCACCATGTAGTCAATGTGCGGCAGCGAGTAACTGTCCTTCGGGCACACTGTGTTGAGGTCGGAGAAATCAATGCATAGACGCCACGATCCGTTGATTTTCTTAACCAAAACGGGGTTGGACACCCAGGTCGGATACTTGGCTTCTTTGATGAACTTGTTGTCGATGAGCTTGTTGACCTCTTCCTCCAAAGCTTGTTGTCGGTCTGGGTCGAGCTTGCCCCTTTTCTGGATGACGGGCTTGACCGTCTTGTCGATGTTGAGCCGGTGGCAGGCTACTTCTGGATCTATGCCTTTTATATCTTTATTCTCCAAGCGAAGACATCTGCGTTAGCTTTCAGGAATGAGATAAGGTCGGTTCGGATAGGTTCTGGGAGGCCGGCACCGATGCGGAGCTGTTTCTCACATGTCGGTATGTCGACGTAGATGATCTCGACTTCCTATTCTGAAAGCTAACGCAGATGTCTGATCGTCTTGCCCAGATTGAGAGATTTACTCGTGGACGGGTTGAAAGTAACGGTTTGAGTTTAGATGTGGTGTTTACTGGATTCGAAAATTAACTCAAAATATCTTATGGAGTCCTTCCTCTAGCACCAAAATGTTGATAAGCAGAATTTAACAACGTAATTAAGATATGCAAAATGACAAAAGTTGCGGAAAATAGAATTTTTATTATGTTTTTTTTAAGTCGGTTTTACAGTTGAAGAAGTCGGTACTTCCGTACAAGAGATCGGTTTCGTGAATAACCGAGGTGTTTAATGCTTGAATTCAATGTGCCCAAAAAAAATCCTCGTATTGAGTTAAATGCAGTTATTTATAGTAACATAATGCAGATTGACAGCATAGGGTTGGCTATGACGTAAGCAAGGTTGTAGGTAATGATGAGGGCATGGGCCGCCTTATCAATTGATTGACATGCGTCAATTTTTGTCAAAATGAGGTCGGGCCTACACGATCTCGGTGCTCTGCGATCCATTGATGGGCCGCGCATGTCGAGATGTTGACCCAACACCGAGGTGACCCCGGGGATAACTCCCTGTATGTCGGAACTTAACATTTAGCTCTATTCATCTTTATTAATCTTCCTGAGGCGTCCTTACTTTGTAGCATCGGAATTTGATATCAACAATACTAAATAATATGTTATAGAGCACAATAAATTACAATATAGTATATGATATTTTTCAAAATTTAATAATATATTAAATATATAAGTTTTAATATTTTCGAAAATTTCTTTGTAAATAAGGGCAAGTTAATCAATCCTTGTAATATTATTTTTAATTTGTTATTTTGACACAATTATAGAAAGCATCTATCAACAAGTATATAAATTATTGTGGATAAGTATCTACATATATAAATGCATCATTTATTTTATGCTTTTCATACTACTTTTTACCACCATATCATCATCCTATATATATAGTTCTCTCGAACATGATAGAGTTTAAATGGCAAACCTGCGTGTTTCGTGATTTTATATAACAATATTAGATGATTTGTAGAAATATTATTTATTATTTTTTATTGATAATAATTTTGCAATAAGAATAATTTTATTTATTATATTTTCTTATTAAATAGATATTTATTTTTCAAAGTACTTGTGTAATACGTAGCTATCGTACTAATTCATATCTACTTCTATGTGGTGAGTGTTGATCCATTATGAAAAATATGATGTATCAATATATTTAACACACCATAAACTTGTATTAATTTTCATTTCTCAATCTCTCTTTTATGCCCAGGTAAGTACAAGTTAATAGGTCCATTAACTGATTTGGCAAGAAATTAGCATATAACGTGTGAAAATTATTTGACTGAAATATTACAATGTATGCATCTTATTTAAATGAACATGTTCCTTTCTTTTATCTTCAATAAAAATGATTGAGAGGAAGAACTTGTCAATCCAGAATGAAAGGATATTTATAAGACACCACTCACTAATCACTAGACAGGGACGAAGTTGCAAAAGCCGACAAAAACAATACTTCAGCTTGAGAATAGACAACTTTTAGGGTTAATTGCATTAAAAACCTCAACTTTTTGTCAAATTATAAATAAAACTCAACTTTTTTAATTTGGCATAAAAATATCAAACTTTTATTAAGTGTTGTAATTTTGTCTCGAAAGCAAATTCTGGCCAAGCGACGCTGACATGACAGCCGGAAAAATGACGTGGAACCCAAAATCCCTTTTTCTTTTATTTTTCCTTTTTCTTTTCCCTTCTTTTCTTTCCTTCTCCCGTCACTTTCTTTCTTCTTCTCCACAGATCTCAATTCTCCTCTTCCCAAATTCTTCTTTTTCCTTCCTCAAATTCTCGAATTCCCTTCCTCTTCTCCACGCCCTCGCTCAGAGCTCCCAACAACTGTCGTCGGTGGCCAGAGGTGGCGGCCTGAACTGGAAAACATTGGAGGGGAGCAGAACCCAGCGGCGGCTCGGCGAATCGGCGATGTGCGGAAGCCGCTAGGCTCGGCTTACGCGTGGTGCCGTGGCGGATTGACTTGACGAGAACCGTCGGTGGTCGAACCTTGTCGTGGCTGGCCGTAGGGGAAATCAAACAGATCCGGATAGCCGGTGGCTCGCACCCGGTGGCACCGGAGGCGGATGACGCTGGCGATAGGCTGCTCGATCGTGAAGGTGATGCACGGATAGAACTTGGTCGGAAATTCGACTCCTCTCGGTGGCGCACGAGTAAATCTCGGAGGTTCTTGCTCATGGTGGTCATCGGAAAGGAGGGTTGCTGTTCGTGAAGCCTTCGCACAAAGGCTGGTAACTCCCGGCGAACTGCTGCGGGTCACCTGCTAGGGTTCTGGGATTCGTGGTTGATCTGAAGCACCTCTTCTCAATTCCTGAACTCGTTTTTTTGTGGTGAATCAAGCCATGAATTCGCAGCAAAATTTGGAGGTGAATCGTTGGAGCAGAAATCACCGATGGAATGGAGAAGAAAGCGCGTACACGGCTGTTGCTCTTTCTTTTTTTTCTGAGAAAATGGGGAAGAAAACGGGCCTTAATTAAACCTGATGTGTGACGTGGTTAGGGGGTGAGTTGGAGGTTGACGTGTCTGATGATGTGGCACTGACTATACATTTTAGGTGCCACGTCAATTTTTCGATCGGACATGTCAGCTCCCCTTCACCGGAATTCAGTTTTGAGATAATTATGCAATACTTAATAAAAGTTTGTATTTTGTTGCAAAAATTTACAAGGTCGAATTTTATTTGCAATTAAGCAAAAGGTTGAGGTTTTTTTTGTCAATTAACCTCAACTTTTAATAAGAGGCCATTATTTTCAAGAATGCAAGGTGGTTGTCAATCACTGTATTATCCCCCACTTGTATAAGTTAAAAATTTTTTCCTTTTTTTCTAAATTGTGTTACGTATAATTTTGGGAAATTTTCATTTATACTTATTGATTTTTAGATAATTGCAATATTACCATCCATACTAATTAAATTGTGTATATACCTAAAAGATAAATATTAATTATAATCATGCCTACAATCAGTTACAAGGTAAGTGGAACAACATTCCATGTTCCTAGCGCGTAATTTCAGGAAATCGGGTAAAGAGTACGAAATTTCACGAAATCTTCATCGCCTATATATATTGCTTTAACATATACTGCAAATATACTGTACATATACCCGTCGAACGTCTTCCTGTTAATGTCATGAGAAAATATACCGAGAATATACTGATAATATACCGTCGAACGTCTTCCTGTTAATTCCATGAGAAAATATACCAAAAAGATATTGATAATATACCGAAAATTTTTAACTATTACATACTATCGAACGTCTTCCTATTAATGTCATGAAAAAAAAATGGAAAACAGTGAAACATGACTAAAAATATACTGGAAATAAACCATACAATTTTCATTGAACAATAAAAACAAGAAAAAACTACAAAGTATAGACTCAAAAAATCAAATGAACACAAACAAAATGATACAAATAAGCAATTCTCATTCCTCCCAAAAAACTAATAATATGCTGAAGAAAATCAATCCGACCGAAACAAACATTCGTCAACAAAAAAATTTGCTAATATACTAAACATAAGCTTATTTTTTGGCAGGGACGCGGGTCATATACTATACATATACTGCATATGTACTGCATATATACTCAGCAAAAATATACTCCAAAAATCTTAAAAAAATCGAACCAACACATTGATTTTGTGCACGTAATTTTTTTTTCGCATCATCAATCCATACCATTACTTAAAAATCAACTAAAAATAAACCACAAAATAATAAATAAATTAATAAAGGGAGCATCTCAGATTCCGCATTATTATCTTCACTGACAATCAAAGTGCAAGAATGACGATTTAATTAGCTCTCATCTCTGATGCTCCTTAAATATAACAAAAATTAAAAATTAAAACAAAGACTCTATTAATCAATCACAGGAACTCAGCAAGTATTAAAAAAGGCTATCTTCATTTCCAAACAGGAAATAATCGGATAGATAACGCAGTATAATTCAACACATCATCGATCCAATTCCACTTAAAAAACTACAGAAAATTGATATAGAGAAAAAACTATATATAAAAAAAAAAAAAAGGAAAAAAGTTGTGTTGAAGTTTGAAGCAGATGAATTCATGAACAAATTCAGTGAAGTTTGATTTTTAGTGGGCACGGCGGAAACCCTAGCGGGAAATTTTCAGGAATTTCGTCGATGGGCTTAAGACCCTCGCCGTGAGCTTCTCTTTAGCCGCAGCGGCCATCGTCGGAGGGTGACCAAGCAGCGCGTGTTTTGTGTGAAGAAAAGAGAGATAGGGCCGTGTGTGAAGAAGATAAAGAGATGGGGAGTGGAGAGAGAGACGTAATTGATGAGAAGTTACCATATAAATAGGAATAGGAAGTTACCATGTAAATAGGAAATCAGCTTTTTAGGCATATAAACAAACAAATATAACAAATTTAGTTAACTTGTAAATAATTATATGAGGGGTGTATTTATGTAATATTTTCAGATTGTTTAAGTGGAGGATGTAATTTCCTCTATAATTTTGTATGATCCACTTGATTTTATTTTGGGCGATAACACAAATTAAGAACAATGAACCTTGGGTTATTGGACCTGAATTTTATTTTGGGCCTTAGAACACAAATTAAGATCATTGGACCTTGAGCACAATCGAGGAGTCATGTCATTAGTAAAAGTAACTGACACGTGTCTAGTTCTCACTCTTACTAGTAGTATCTTCGTGTTATAAACAAATGGTAGTAGGAATCTCTTGGTAGTGCGATGCACAACCGGTTTATAATACCAAAATATTTATGTCTACAGATGATATTTCCAAATTTTACACATATATATTTGAAATTGCATCGAAAGACTATCGAACATAAACAAATTATACGGCAAAAATTTGATACCACAAATGACTGTTAAAACAAGACTTTTAGAGCATGTTTGCATACAAAAAATTTCACAAAAATTCCAACATTTTTACTCAATTTTTAACTCAACTTTAACTCAACTCCACTATCATCAATATTATCAATATAATTAAATACTACCAATCAATTATTCATACTCACCACATCAACCTTAATTCTCTTTTCATTCATTCACATTATTTTAACTAACCATCACTTCAAATCATCTGTCTCCTATTTTTACATCAAGTCAATTTTAATTATTTTATTTTAAATATTATTTTAATATACTCACTAACAACTAACCATACAACCTTTTTTAAAATTAGTCAAACCGAACAAAAAAAAACCAACAAAACCAAAAAATTGTATATCCAAACATGCTCTTAGTTTCAAAATCAAAGATAATTAGTAAAACATTATTTATGTGATTGACAAATTTGTCGTAAAATCTGCAACGCTTAATAAGTGGTTTTCAAACTATTTTGTTTTTCTTGTGTAATTAGTTTGATCACAAGAGGCAGCAAATTATCTCAATTTTCAGCATGTACGGGCTCCCAACCTATTTTGTAATGGATAGAGATATCTACCCAAGTGTGTTATAATTTTATAATAACATTTCATCGTTGAGAAATAATGACTTGCAATAATTTTCTTTTAAATCCGATACGTTTGTCTTTTCACAATGGATAACATATTTGGAATTAAATAAATTATGATACACAAGTTTACATGAGATGAGAGGAAGTGGATGGAAGACAACAAATTAATAAGAGTTTAGGTATAAAAAAAAAATGATTCCTCATATTCGAACACATTCACATTTGAACGTCTAGCAACTAATAAAAGATATTAAATTTGAGAAATAAAATCCCAAAATTACACATGAGAGAGTAGCGATGAGGCCACATTGTGTAAGAGTAGAAAAATCACTCCCTTTAAAATAAGTTACAAAAATAAATAATCAACCCAATAAATAAAAAAAACTTAACCTAAATAACACGGCTCAAACTGACATTCTCATCAAACAGTACTTGCGGAGTGGGGAGCACGCCAGGAATTACTCCAAGTCCCCCTTAGTAGATGTATAGGGAAAAAAGGCTTAAGGACATAACTACTCTCTATTACAACCATATTCCATTAAAGAGACAACATGTATAAGCCCAAAAGGAAACAAACTATAAGCCCAAAAGAAAATAAAAAAAAAAAGGAAAAAAAATAAGCCCAATAAAGGCCCAAAAGAAAAAAGAAAAAAGAAAAGAAAGAAAACAAAACGCAAGAGTAATTGTAAGGTGTCCACGTGCCATCCAGTGGAACACCTCAACCTAAATAAAGATGTACTAGTACAATTCCCGTGTATTACACGGGTGTTGAATTAAAAAACTTTTGTGAAAAAATATTAAATTTTTTAATTTTTTAAAAATTAAAATAATTTAATTTTATATAAAACATTACTTTAGGTTTTAATTAAATTGTCAAATTATATTTTTTTAATCATAATAATTAAACACCAGTACATTAAATGAAAATGTCAACCCGTGTTGAATTTTTTTACTTATATCAAATAAAAATATCGATATTATTTACTATTACATAAGTACAAAAATATATATCTTAAATAAATAGAAATAATATGGTGATACTTATATGTATAAGTGTAGAATATGTTTATTTAATATTAAGCAAAATAGATTAATTTTTTTTATTTAATTAGATGTCTAATACATCAAATATCTTCACAATTTTTTAACTTTATATGTAACTTTATAATTTAGATAAATAAGTTCCTAATTGAATTTACATCTTATTTAGTTATTGTGCAGCTAGTACTCTATCACACCGAAATTTCATAAGGTTAGCCTTACTATGTGGAATGGAATCCTAAAATGTTAGGATGTCAACTTAAACCAAACTATTTATATTCATCCCGATAATTACGAAAATTATTAACAATTAGGAAATATGTTATTTTGATAAAAAAAAAAAATATTAATTTATATCCAAGCCTAACTCCAAATCATGATTTTTTGCCAAATAGGATTCTGAAGTGTAACGCCCCAAATCAGAATAATAGTAAGAACGGTTTCACTGCTCGACTATAAGTGAAATCCGTAATTTTCAGAAATTCCCGAGTTATATTTAGTATACAATGCTCAAATATGATAAATTATTCTTTGAATAATTCTATATCAAGTTTAAGTTAAGATTAATTCATTAATTTGGATTAATAAAGAATAGCAAGTCGATTCGAGAAATTATCGGCTTCGAACCCTAGTTCGGTTCCGAGTTATTTTCTAGTCAATTCCGACCCTAGCCAAGTATTGGTATTTTATACTTGGAATATTTTTCT